GTCCTTTTGATGGAGCTGTCCTGTAGAAGCATTTGGTAGAGCCTTGAATCTTCTTGTAAATAAATTTTGCCCACCATCCAGTCCCCGAACCACTGCTTGCTACATTTTCTGCTCGATTCCTATTTTCACATCTTGCACTCAGCTGCTTTAAAACAGCAAATCCCCCAGAATCCTCTGCTAAGTCCTGTTGGCCCAGATGGTTAGTATCCCAGAGCAGCCGTGCTCAGAGGGGGAGTGGGAAGGATGCCGCAGCACACTCCGTATTTCTATCCTGCATGGAAGGAGGTCCTGATGGAAGGAAAAGTTGACTGTCACTGGTGCATATTAGGTCATCTTCCATTTACTTGCACTTGCACTTCTATCCTGCCCAATTCCCCCTCCACCAACAGTATACGTTGATTTCTGAATCCTTGATCTCTTCAAGTGTTTCTACCAAATGTTAGAACATTTTTTGTTGGTTTCTCCGATTCCATTTTTTAAAAAATATTTTTTTAGAGCAGTTTTAGGTTCACAGCATCTAATTCCATTTTGAGCCTGATTTTCCCAGTTTTCTCTGAATTTGAACCACATCATCCTAATATGACTTTTAAAATAAATGATGCTAATAGGCAAACATAGATCTTGCACTTGAAGCTAAAATTTGTTTCATTTCTCTTTACTAGACTGAAGGCTTCACAAGAGCAGCTTCCAGTCTGTTTTAGTCACTCCTGTATCCCCAGTGCTCCCCAGTACCTGGCACACAGGCACTTAAATGTTTGAATGAATAATGAACTCTTATTCTAAGATTCAAACTGCATAGCCTTCAAGAGAGTAAACGTTCCCTGTAATATAAGACTTCCTTGAACTTTTGCTCTGCCTTCACCACAATACTGACAGTGCAACAAAGAACATAATAAACGCTTAGAAACCATTTTTGGGGGCATACCTGATACAAAAAAGCCGTGTCATAATCCTTCTACCTGGGGAAATCTAACGATTTGGTGCAGGATAATTCTCAACCAACAATAAAGGTGAGTCTTAGGACCACTCCACACATGCCTATCTCCAGGAGAGACGTTTTCAGACTTCCCTGCTGTCCCCCTCCTTGCACTTTTATTCCCCACCCAAATTTGATGCCTCTGCTATTTGGAGAAACTAAGGCACAAGAGAAAATCAAGCATATCAAAGGTTCCTCCCCTAAGTTCTTTGATTTACTCAAAGAGCTCCCAGTAACATCTACCAAGGGACCACAAAGGTAGAGAATTTGAGCCATGATTTTACGTTTCTGGTTCTCAAGGACATGCTTTGAATTTACTTTGTTGTTAACAGGAAGTGGCATTTTTAAATCTTTCAAAAAGAAAGCTATTTTTATTTTACAGAACTAAGTTAACATTCATCTTCTCGGAAGGGAACTCTTGAGAACTCTGTCTCTTTCTAGTTCAGCCGTGGACTACACTAAGTCACCAAATTCAAAGGAGATATTTGGCTTTTTGGTATCTGTGCTAGAGAATGCATAATCCAGTTAGCTTCTCGTATGATATGTTACCACTGATAACTAGTTTGAAATATGCAGCAGTTCAATTATCCTGCTTATACTCTCTGCAGGTGGCAAAGAGATAGGAAAAGGAAATCAGAATGTACTGCAACTCTTCTGGCCAGTTACTTGCAAGGCTGTTTTTTATATACATAAAAACCACCGTAACTGAAGACTACATCTGTAGATATAAAAATTGTTTGCTTTTTAAATCTATGTAAAATTAACTGTAGGATATCTATCACACATGTATATATACACATGAACTGATGGTTAAACCAACTAAATTTTTATGGCTTTTACTAGGGAAAGTAAGCTGTGCTAAGGGAAAAACAGGCAGATTCCACCTTAGCTGGTTATCGTAGAATCAGTGACACAAAGTCTCATATATCTTTCCATGTAACTCTCTTACTGGAGAAATGCTCTGGGAAAAAATACAAGGTGTGTGTCTCCCTTCAGTATATATGGAGACAAGGAGCTCTGGAAAGTTCTGTAGGCTGCAAGGCAGGACAGTTTTCATACACACTCACCATCTATGTAGTTCCCTTTGCAACTGGTAATCTTTATATGTTAACGGCTAAAGCCCAAACTGTGGGATGAAGGCTACTGGCTGATGTCTGGATGCCTAAAGAGGTACGAGTGGAAATAATTCTTACCAGCTGCGACGGCAAAATCTATAGCCTAGGTATAGCTGTCTGGTTACCAAGCACATTCTTATACACAGGAACCAACTAAAGGGAAACTGCAGAAGTCATACAGGTAAATCTTCTCCTCTCTTTGGTGAATAAACAGATACCACCCTTGGAGGTACGTGCTGACCACAAGGCTGTCCATTACCGGTTATGGCAAAGGAGCTATCCAGTAAAGCAGCCCATTACTGGTTATGGCTGGCCATTATCAGTTCTGTTGGCAACCAGAGGAGTTCACAATGATTTTATCCTATCCTTGGAGAAGTTAATCTCTAATTTCTGCACTTTGAATAAAAATTGAAAATGAAGGTTCACTAGTGTCATGTTCCTGAATTCCTTTTGTGTTTTACAACTGCTAAATTTAAAAATGATTTAAAATCTTGACAATGTCAACAACTTTACTTTCATACAAACGATGGACAGGAAGATTTAAAAAATCAAAAGCAGGGCTTCCCTGGTGGCGCAGTGGTTGAGAGTCCGCCTGCCCCTGCAGGGGACGCAGGTTTGTGCCCCGGTCCGGGAAGATCCCACATGCCGCGGAGCGGCTGGGCCCGTGAGCCATGGCCGCTGAGCCTGCGCGTCCGGAGCCTGTGCTCCACAACGGGAGAGGCCACAGCAGTGAGAGGCACAAAAACAAAAAAAAAAAAAAAAAAAAAAAAAAGCAAAAGCAATTATAAGTTGAAAGATAAATGATGAAAAAGGACAAGCATATTTGGCAAGTGGGTTAAGCTCAAAGTATTCCTAATAAGAATACATGTACAACGATAGGCCTATCCAATTTTCTCCTAGAAATAAATATACATATACATACAATAAAAGCTATCGTAATGAAACCTTTTCCAGACTGATATTCTATATCCCACCTGGGATTGACTCCCAAATCTCCACACTGTGAAAATTCAGTGGCCAAGCCTCTGAACAGTAGTCAGAGGAACTGCTAGTACAAAAAACCTCTGAGGCCCATCTTCATACAGAAGGCCTTTTTGGAGGAGTCTACTGTCATAGACTCACCCCACTTTGTAACCCTATACTCACCCCACTTTGTGACCCTAAAGATTTATAAGCTTAGAATAAATTCCCAAGCATACCCATAACGCAAATCAGGGGCCCATTGCATTGCTACTAAATTTTGCTTCAATCATAGCACCACTACTTAATTACAGTCACAGCTCTGAGAGTCGGTTGACAGAAATCCTATAAGCAGGTTCCTAGTGCATCTTACATCTTTGGTGTAGGGCAGGCAAAAGGATCTACAGCACATGATTGTCTAAAAGAACACTTTAAAGACAATCTGGCTAACCTGTTCTGAGCGCCCTTCTGAACACAGTAAACTACAACTCTTTCTGTCAACCACTCCCTAACTTCAGAGGGTCATGAGGAATCTATGCAACTTTCCATCACATCACTCAGGCTCCTAACACACATACGAACCTCACAGCTAAAAGAAAGAACATGGAATAAGGTAAAAGAAATGTCTAAGTGCCCCCAAATCAAAAATTTTAAAACTCCTGAGATACGAGCCTCCATTTTGATTGTGCTCAATGACGTGAATTTTGACAGAAAGAATAAGCTTTTAAAGAGAGTAAGACTTTAGACAAAAATCACTTAAAGTTAAAAGTTCACAAATCACCCTTTTGAAGCTTCTGTTTCAAACACATTGCAAATTATAACCTGGAATAGGGAATTATCATTCTCAAAATTCTCTTCAATAAAACCAAGATTTCAGATTCCTGCTAGGTACTTAAGAGGGTTTATTTTCCACAAAAAAAAGTATCTAAAATCTACCCAGTAGAATTATTGCACAGTGGGGCCCACAGGACAGTGATTTCCAAGGGCTAGTCCTCATATAAAAAAAGGCCACAATAAATACATCTATATACTATGCCCCACTCTAACTTGACATGTGTAAACACAAATATGACGAAACCTTGCTTAAAAAAAGAAACTCCTGAGGAAAGAAAAGGATGGAAAACTCTACCAAGGCCACTTGAGTCAGAAACTCCAATTACTATTTCCACTGCCATGAAAGACACTCACCAAATACACTGACCATTCCAAGCACCAAGATAAACCAGTGACAAGGTTATTTATCACACTTGAATATTTCACTCAGATCACAGCTCAAACTGAGCTTTAGAAGAACTTCCTAGAAGAAGATGAGTTTGGAAAGGAAGTAAACTGCTGGCAACCAACCCACTAGCTGAACATAAGCTCATCATTAGTCGTTAAGGGTTGAGCTGTGATCAGTGAGATGCTACCAAACCCAGTCACTAGTTAACTCCAGTGTTTAGGCCATTATTTTTCACTCACACAGTTCTTGAAACATCACCATGACATTTGCAAATGGAATTACAGTTTCTTCTTTCTTTTTTTTTAATCTGGGTAGCACCATGGTTCGCGCTAATGTTAATTCCCTCACAGTATCCCACCCAAGGTATCTGGCAATCCATGCAGCAGCCTGTGATGTACAAAGCAGCCCAAGTTTTAAACCCTCCCAACTCATCCCATTAAAATGTCAAGTCCTAACCACACGAATAGAAACACACCACTCTAGGAGATATTCTTCAATTTCCTGTGACAACTGATGAGTCATAATACATAAAGCACTGAGTATGATTCCAAACACCAAACCATGTAATCAAGTTTGTACACCAAAAATTGAGTCAACAAGCCACACCTTGCCTACAGCACAGACACAGCCAAATTATGAAGTTGATCTGTTTTTAGCTGCATGGGTGGTGGGATTTCTCACGGCTTCTGCTTTTTAAAGCATTCACTCTCATTCTAGAACGGTATGCTATACACAAAACCACCAATTTCATTCCAGAATACATCATCTTAATGTTAATAAAAAGCTCCTGTATGCACATACTGCCAATACATTTAAAAAGGCCCAAATTTCAACAAATAGAATAGACAAATTCATCAGACAAGAGATCATAAATTACTTTGGCCGAAAAAAATCTTTAAAAAAAATCTGGCTCAACATTCTGCTTGCAGGTTTCTACATATACTGTATATGTGGTGAGTGTGTATGTGTAGATATATAGCTTTTTGTAAGGGAATGGAGTATGGTCTAGCCCACTTTTCCATGGTTATGTAGGAACTACAATGTTCTTTGCTAGCAAAACAAGAAGTGCAAGGTCTGCATTTCCACCAACTCGATGCAAAGCCCCAAGAGCTTCCTGCAAAGTAAAGCCGGCACGGAGAATCCGGTCAATGTCCGCAGCAGGAAAAATTAATGGTGCAAGAAAGGAGGGACTTGATGATGGCTGGCTGGTAGGTGGTACAAATTCTAGAAGTGGCCCTGCAGCTTCAGAACAGACATTTTCTCTAGTCTCAGGCCTGTCTGTCACTGGATTCTGTGTGCCCTGGCCCAAATCTTTAACCAATATGAAACTGGATGACAAGGACTCAGTGTGCTCAGAAGTCTGATTGAGTGCATCCTCCTCACCTGCTAAAAGTCTGGGTGAAATTTCTGCACCAAAGGTGCAATGTAGTTGACTGGACGTTTCAGCTGAGGCTACAGTGACAGAACTGCTCTCATTTACTGACTCCTTAGACTTGGGGACACCTTCCCTATCAGTTAATACGCCATCACCTGGACCCCTGAAGTTAATATTTTCTTCATCTTCTACTCCAGCGTCAGTTGAAGTGTATGTTAATTCTTCTGTCTTCATTGTTACAGATGTGGCCTGATGAAAGGAGACCTGTGAACAGTGTTCACTCTGGGTAGCTGTAAGATGCTCATTTTGGGTCCATCTCTCAGAAAGGTCCTTAATACCTGTTTGGCCCTCAGTTACCGTCTCTGATCGACAGATAACTTCTTCTGATGTGTTTTCTGAAGCTGGTTTACTACTAATGACCAAAAGTTCATGAAGTTCCTTCAAGGCTGCCGTTACAGATGAGCAAGATTCCTCTGTGGACTCTATGGATGGCTGACAACTGCCACAGAGGCTTACTAAAGAGGAGGGGCAACTCCCGTATTCTTTACTTGTTCCAGACATTTCAACATTACTTTCTGGAAGCTGTAAATCCTGAGTGGAAATGGAATTACTCAAAATTTCAGAGGAAGGGTTACATTTTGATGTTTCTACTTCCATCAAGGGATTATCTAAGGTGAGATCAGATGCACCGATGTTCTTGACACTGGTATTCTGACCACCTGCTGAATTAAGCACAGCAGCTAGGGACTGTTCAACTATATCTACTTCCATAAGTGTTTCTGAACTTGAGCAGCCAAAGCACCCTGAAGGTAGAATATTTTTCTCTGTACCCGAAAGGTCCACAGTCTGCTCTAGCCTGTCTCCTTCCATTGTAGCTTCCGAACCAATACTTCTTTGTTGATCCTGTTGCCTTTCTCCAAGAAGTTCAAGGTCCCCTGTGTTACAGAGACGTGCTCGGTCATGGGGAGCATTCTGCTGTATAACCTCATGCTGTCCAGTCCTCGGTTCTTCATGCTGCTGAAGGCCACTCGCTTGACTCAGGTCCTGATATTCTGGATGCCAACCCTTTTCATCTTTAAGCCTCTGTGGTTCTTCCATCCCAGTGACAGATAAACTAACTTCCCGTCTGGTGTGGAGATGAGATGTGAGGCCCTGGGTGCTTCTTTCAGCAGATTTCTCTAGATTACCTGCAACAATGGCTTCTTCGAGTGAATTCTGCAAAGGCATAGCTGGCCTCTGGTCTGCTGGAGCACTGTCTGCTGAAGAAACACAATCAGAAAGATCCTGTAGAGGAAGATGTTCTTTCTTTTCACAGGTTACCTGGAATTCAGCTGAAGCCTTCAAAGCCTTCAGAGCTTTAGGTTCAATGCTGTCTGGGTCGCTGGGCTCAACAGGGCAGACTGAAGCAGAGACAGAGTGAGCAAGACGTGAAGGATTACCAATCTCAGGACTCTGTCCTGAAGGATGGGCTTGATGGTTAAATCCATCTGAAGTTGGTAATGATGACATTCCCAGTGAGGTAGTTTCTTTACCGCTTTTCTCTACACAGAACAACAGTCAAAGGAAAAAAGATTAATTAGCAGGTTACAAAGTCCACTAAATTATCAGAGAACACAAATCTAAACAGGACAGAACAAAATCAGGTCCTTAAACTGGGGTTTGTCTTATATTTATAGACTTTATACAAGAACCACTCTCATCGTGGTGGACAATTTAACATCATAGCATCAGAATAAGAGGTAGGCATGTTCTTAACAAAATATGTGTACTGTAATTCAATATTTTTATTTAAGTACCACATAAGGGCTGAGTTAGTGCTCAAGACTGAAGGACATTTATGTATCTTTATTCTCAGTGGGTTCAGAACTCTAGAATAGTTTCTCCAAGTGTGTTTTCTCTATCACTTGCCCTAAAATCACCTGGGATGTTTCCTAAGCATGCAGATTCTGGATACCATCCTTGGGATAAACCCAGGAATTTGTTATTTTCAGTAAGTTCCTCAGGTGATTCTTAAAAGCACAATACAATCTTGAGGATTTCAGTACTAGAATGATTCTCGTGCCAATTCTCTTTCAGAGTGTCAAATGTGAACACTGAGAAGTCTAAACCAGGTATATCTGAGACAGAGCAGGAATTATAAAGAGAAATAAGAATGTGATACTACTCAGGGACCTTCAGAAGACAGATAAATATTCATTATTTATCATTATTTATCATTATTCACAAATAAACATTCTATTTATTTCTATCCAAACATTCCAAAAACTATATGAGCTTGACTCAGAACAAAAAAAAGCGCTAAAGATCAAACAGATTAAATCCCAATTATTATCTTACCAAATAATGCAACTTTAAAAAGGATTATCAGTTACTTTATCACAGCAACAACTAAGTGAGAATATTTAAGTACTTTAAGGGCAGGGAAATGTGGGCAGGGGAGGGCAGTGGAGGGATATAGTTCATAAATTTTCCAATAAGCAATAACAATTTAGATCCACTGCAACTTACTGACCACTCATAAAACATGGAAGGATTAAATGCCACACCTCAATGTAAACATCATGATGTCATTAAACATCAGTTCCAACTCTCCTTTTGCCACTAATCCAATTAAAAATTGACCTCTATGCAATTATTACAAGATCTTTAATTGAAAGTCAAAGGCTGGTAACAAAAATGACATCACAATACAAACTATTAGGACAGATGCAACTCAAATGCTTCATGTTGACTGTACCTTAAGAAGTCATGAAGCAATGCAGTTATGATTCAAAAGGCTCCAAATCATTCTAATCCAACACAGGTTAACAACTTGAAAAGATAAAGCACTATGTCAGGAAGTTACTGACTTCTTGTGAAATAATCTTATAGTTTAGGGATAAACAGGAAAACAGCATATATCTCAGTGCAAACTATAATTCATTAGAGTCTAGAAACACAGTTTTCAGTTTTATTTATCAATCTCTAAGGCTGACTCTGAAAGAGGTTCAATTTTGAGTTAATGAGAACACAAAGATGCACTGTAGTCAAATATCCACGTTATTAGCAGCACAGAGGTGGGCAAAGGTAATGGCCTTCTGGCAACGGTATGTCAGTTATAACAGCTGGGGGAGGTGAAGGTGAACATGACCTCAAAGTACTCCGTACTCACTATGAAAGCAGCATATAGTCCTCCTGTAGCTGAGATGCTCAGTTTCACTGGCCTAAGTCCTACATGTAGGGGAGGACTGGGTCAGTACTATAGGACAGGAGAAGAGGATGAGGTCAACGGACATTAATAATTAAAGATGGCTGCTTTTAACCCATCCTTACAAGGAAAATGAAAGAAAGAAGCAATTAAATGCTATATATCTAATTACAACCAGCCTGCAAACCCCTATAAAGTCCTAGGTTGGTAGAGTCTAAAAAGACCACTTTTCCTTCTTTTAACAGACCAGTCAGTGCACTCAGGCTGACATTTATCATATCTGCATACAGGGAGATGGAAGCAGAGAGCCTCCTGTGGAAAACTGTCAGGCTAGGGAGAGAGGGAAAAGCAAAGTTTCAGCTCTTGTTGGAAGATTAAACTTCAGCCCTGCCTACGTTATTGACTCTGTGACACTGGCCAAGTCACCTGGCCTGTTTCCATTTCTTCTTCAACAGAATGAAAATTTCAGCCCCTCTATAATGCTGGTAGTTGTGTGCAGTAATGTGAAAAATACACTTTCAGTTTTTCAGAAGAAAGGGACTTACAAGATCCCTAATAACACAGTCATCTCCACAACAAAGTGCTGTGATGCTAATATTCTTGATTTGATATTCACAGTGGTCATCTGTTTTCGCTGGGATTTTTTCCCCCTCGAACTGTTCTAATGACTGATAAAATTTTAAATAGGAAACCATGCTTAGATATGTATGTATGCCAACATACAAATACACATACAGGCTAGTTGTAACCAGATTAAACAAGGTGAAATGGTGAATGACAGAAGCTAAATTCTAGAACTGCTGAGGATACGAAGTCTTTCAGACCACAGACGATGACTGGGTGGAAGGCTTAACGTGGTGTCTATAAATACCTGGTCTGGGGCCCACTCCAGCTGCAGTACACACACACTACATGCATCATGGCTTCTGACGCTCTGTTTGAATTAGGAAACAGACAAGCAAACCTTGGGTTAACAATGCAAACCACACAGCATGCAGGGTTATAGTCTCCACTCCTTTGCCATCTTTAAGAGCAGGAACTGGTAGAGTCAAAGTGGGGGAACGTTCCTGTAGTTTGGACATCAAAAAGATTTGCTGGTTGCTTTAATTCTCTCACAATACATAAAGCAATGTGTCAACTTCAACAGATTTTCAACAGAACTTGGAAAGAAATTAACTTTACACACCTACACAGAGAATTCATGGGCAAACATGTGAAATAGGTGGAAAAAAAGTAGATCCATAGACAGAATTACATGATATGGAAATCTTATGGAGTAAAGGTGAGCAAACACATATTATAGAAACTTTCAAAGTTTCTTTTTCAGTTGAGATTTATTTTTAGAAGAAAAACAAAACAAACCTGATTACTTATCCTGGCTTACCTTATTTTTTAAAATATTCTGAATTATTACTTTTTTGAATTATTTTTTAATCAATAGAAAAGATAAAGATATTCTGCTATAGAGTATCCACCAAAGAGACAGTTTTTAGCAAAAATATGTTCACCTACTATGTCTAGGGGTAGGTGATTTTTATAATAGTGGGAAGCTGATGTTCCAAACAAATAGAATCTGATGTTGAAGAATTACCTCACTCAACATTACAAAAATTAGCGCAAGCCATACATACACTGTCAGTAACAAAAGGTCACATGGGTAAAGAGCCACTTCCTTTTAATCCTTTAAAACTGGTACACCTCCTTCACTATGGCTGAAAACATCTGTGGTTTCTATTTTAATCTCTTCAACTTTTTATTAAAAGAAAGTAATTACTCAAAGAGGGTAACTGTCAGTAGGTTATAAAGCACTGCTACCATCAGCTAGTGTTTCTCAAGTAAAAGCACCAAAACTGTGGGGGGAACAACAGAGGTTTCACAAAATGATAACATACCCTCATTTTATTAATGTATAGTATTATGACTAAGCTGACAAGTTACCAAACAAAACAAAACAAAAAGTAAAACCTTCTAAGTAGATATGTCAAATTCATTCAAGTTTGCCTTGCGGGTAAGGTTAAAACTATTAATTTAGTCTTTCTCTGTCTGGTTGTTCAAAATTCTCCCCTTCCTACCAAATACTTAAATCACAACCCAAACTGTACTTCATATGTAAAACTGAGCCAAAAGGTGGTGGTGGCGCAGATTCTGAACAAAGCCAGCTTGGAAACTCCATCTGCTACTCACGCTCATTCTAAAGCATCTCAAGGCTAGACCGCCGGGTGTTCTCTGGTGATACACACTGGCAAAATCTGGCTGCTTACTGTTAAAGCTCTTATCTTTTTTGTCCTTAGGAGAAAGCTATTCCCTGAACTTGTAGCTCTAATACATTTTACTATATCAGCAAATGCAATGTGTGATATTAGTCACTAATGAGGAATTACAGCTCAAGACTTTAAAATAATTCAAACTTAAAAGTTAATTCTCTTTAGCTTCTAGAAAATAGATTCCAGAGTCACTGTTTTGTAACAGATGGGGAAAATTTATCCACAGAAGTGGGATTTCGGCATAACTGTGTCCCTCCATTTTACCCAGAAAACTTGGTTTGATCTTTAGAATTAAAGAAGCTACAACAACTGAGACTTGGGAAGAAAAAGTATTACGTAGCTTCATGTCGGTGGCAGCACTTTCAGTAGATATTAAAAAGCTTAGTGTTGCTTAGTCACAGACACAATGTCATCCTCCAAAATAAATGGGCCTAAGAAAAGAAGAAGAAAATGTCCAGGAAATGTTGAACTCAAAAGGAAGTTTCTGCTTACAGTTATAATTTTCTTCAAGAAAAAAAAAAAAAAGACAAGATTCTTTAGGAATCCCACCAAAATGTGCCTAAGCAAAGAACTCCCCACTCTATCTTGCACACAGCAATGGACTGCTATTTCTGGATCTATTGAAACACGGGAGGTTTTCTGTACTGTATTTAGAGATGGGAAGAGGCAGTAAGAAGACAAGGAACATACCTACAACAGGACGATGAGACTGATTACGATTGGAAAGGTCCCTATTCCCCTCTGAAGCTCCAACTTCCCTGGCTGACCCACCAATAAGGAGTATTATTTAAGAGCCTGGCCACTCCAAATACCTGCATCCTCTACAGATTTTTGAAGGGCTTCTGCTAATTCTTGGTCTGCAATCTCCTCTGGCCGTACTTCCTCTCGCCCGGCCCCATATGCCAACCGGGCACACTCTGGTAACTCCCCCTCAGGAAGGAAGGTGGTCTTTGAGCCTGTGGTGCCGATCACGAGTACATTTTTCTTGAGGTCAATGGAACACTTAGAAAGAGAAACCAAACACTGATGATAGCAGATAGAACACGATGCAGGAAAATTATGATCTTGAATTTAAAACTCCATTCACAAAGAGCAACACTGACAGAGATGGCTCAAAAAACCAATTTTATCTAAAGTATTTAAACTTTAAGCTATGTAACATTGTTAGTTTAGAATCTATATCTATATATATATTTAAAATATCTATTCAATTTATTTATTTGTTTTTGGCTGCGTTGGGTCTTCGTTGCTGCGCACTGACTTTCTCTAGTTGCGGCAAGCAGGGGCTACTCTTCGCTGTGGTGTGTGGGCTTCTCATTGCAGTGGCTTCTCTTGTTGCGGAGCACGGGCTCCAGTAGTTGTCGCACGTGCGCTCAGTAGTTGTGGTGCGAGGGCTCTAGAGAGCAGGCTCAGTAGCTGTGGAGCATGGGCTTAGTTACTGCACGGCATGTGGGATCTTCCCAGATCAGGGCTCAAACCCGTGTCCCCTGAATTGGCAGGCGGATTCTTAACCACTGTGCCACCAGGGAAGCCCTAGAATCTTTTTTAATATTTAAATTGTACAGCAGAATGATCTTTATGGGATACAGTTTACACTTCTTTGTCAAACACAGCAATTGTTCATGTCTGAATTCAAATGTGATACATATTCATTGTACAAAATTTGGAAAACTGCACGCCATAATCAGCAGCCACACCTTTCAGAAACGTATCAGTGACTTTTTAAAAACTAAAACTGAGACATACCATTTATATAGGTCTACATTTTTGCTTCTTGCTTAGTGTATAAAGTACAGCTTATATTTAAAGTCTATGCCAATGGTCTCAAAAGTGATATATGGACAAGACGAGCTCTACAAAAGTATTATGTATTTCATACTTATGCTATCCCCTTTTTCAGTATATATATATATTTTTTTTAAATTTTTTTTTATTTATTTTTTATTTTTTTTGCGGTATGCGGGCCTCTCACTGTTGCGGCCTCTCCCGTTGCGGAGCACAGGCTCCGGACGCGCAGGCTCAGCGGCCATGGCTCACGGGCCCAGCCGCTCCGCGGCATGTGGGATCTTCCCGGACCGGGGCACGAACCCGCGTCCCCTGCATCGGCAGGCGGACTCTCAACCACTGCGCCACCAGGGAAGCCCATCAGTATATTTTTATAATTACTTAATATAGGACAGTTACACACATATATTTTGAATCCGTAAAGCTGGAGACTGCTAGTCTATACCATGACTTAAAAATAGCAATAAATAAATAAATACATAGGGAAAGATTAGCAACAAGTTAATAAATCAGGTTTCATTTATATGTGCATTCGCTCATTCCTTCTACTTAAAACTATGCACCTTGATTTGAGTATCAATATATTTCAATGGGAATTTAACACTAAACATTTAAGAAAGAGTATTAGTGTGCTTGCTTAGGCAGCACATATACTAAAACTGGGACGACGCAGAGATTAGCATGGCCCCTGCGCAAGGATGAAACGCAAATTCGTGAAGTGTTCCATATTTTTATATTACTCAGCCATAAAAAAGAACGCAATGCTGCCATTTTCAGTGATGTGGATGGACCTAGGGATTGTCATTGTCATACTGAGTGAAGTAAGTCAGACAGAGAAAAACAAATATATGATACTGCGTATATGTGGAATCTAAAAAAAAATGGTACAAATGAACCTATTTATAAAACAGAAACTGAGTCACAGATGTAGAAAACAAACTCATGGTTTCCAAGGGGAAAAGGGTGGGAGGGATAAATTGGGAGATTGGGATTGACATATATACACTACTATATATATATCGATAAGATAGGTAACTAATAAGAACCTACTGTATAGCACAGGAAATTCTATTCAATACTCTGTAATGACCTATATATATCGATAAGATAGATAACTAATAAGAACCTACTGTATAGCACAGGGATTTCTATTCAATACTCTGTAATGACCTATATGGGAAGAGAATCTAAAAAAGAGTAGACAGCTGAAGCTAACACAACATTGTAAATCAACTATACTCCAATTTAAAAAAGAAAAAAAAGTATATTAGTGACATAAAAATGTTGACTAGATATGAAACCTTGTTGGGAAAATTTTTACTACCCAAGAGCACAATGGCTTCTTCAATGAGTGAATTTTATCTTTAAACAAATTATTAGCCTTCGGAATGGAAATATAAAAATCACTGCAGATGAAAATATTTATAAATCATTCTCCCTGTACTAAATAAACATTTCCATTCCCAACATCTTACGTACACCTTTTTCCTTAATCTCGAAGCTCTTCTCCCCAAGTATTGTCTGACCAGCTACTAAGGATTTACTAAACTTAGGCTCGCAGTAAAATCACCATTGTGTATTATGTACATCTCCCTACAAACCCATTAAAAAATTACTTGAGGCACTTCCCTGGTGGTCCAGTGGTTAAGACTCTGCACTCCCAATGCAGGGGGCCTGGGTTCAAGCCCTGATCTGGGAACCAGATCCCACATGCCACAATCAAAAGATCCCGCACTTGGCAGCGAAGATCCCGCATGCCACAGCTAAGACCCAGAGCAGCCAAATAAATAAATATTTTTTTAAAAATGTTTTAAAAAAATGACTTGAGTTCTAATCAGAAACTAAAAATTACACAAGGGAACCAAATTGTCCAGTATAGTCTCAAAACAGATGGCAAGATTCAACAGATTCAGAAAGATTTCACAAAAAGGTTCTATTTCTACTGATACAGAATTTCAAACCTTGTATGACAACATCACCAATTAAGGACCTTTCCAGGTTTGAAGTCATGCTTCTTAATTTTCCAGTATATACAACCATGATGGAATAACCATTTAACACAAAAAAAGCCAACGCAAAAAGAAAGTGAAGCTCTTAATTACCTGATGCCGTTTCAGCATGTCCAGTCCCAAAAGCATGTCCATGGGCTGTTCCTCAAGTATAGAGAAGGAACACGCCAGGAAATCTCCTTCAATTTGAACCTGAGCTAAAGCACATGAAGAAAGGAAGAGGTTACTGATTTTTCCAGCGAAGGTCTGGAAATGTAGCTATTATTCTGTGTCTTTCTTCCTGCAATCAGTCAAAGTCAAGCCAAAGCATGCAAACAAGTGAGTTAAGGATGAAAATCCAGTAAGACCAATAATCAGGTTAAAAGCCAATGAAGGCACCAGCTCCTAAAGTGGATTGGGTAGAACTACTGCCCACAAGACCTGGCTTGATATATGATACACGCTCAGCTGGTGAGGAAAGCTGGCATTAAGAATTAAAAAAAAAAAAAAAAAAAAAAAGAAAAAAAAAAAACCAAGACCAATTCCTTCAATATTAACCACCTGCTTCCTGTACACTTACAAAAGGCTTTCTAAAAGGAAAATAAAATCAGTACACTTTAAACCTTTTAAATTAAGCTCCAAGAAGTAAACTGTTTATTACTGCCTGTTATAACCAAGTTTCTTTGCTTGAAGTCTCCTGCCTTGCCTCTTTCCTCAATTACTCCTCTTATTTCATATGTAAGATGTTTTTTTTAAAAAAATGACTTTGTCATTAACTATGTCTTACGAGCAGAAAAGTATATGAAATATATATATATATATATACTGTATATATATAGTATAAAGCATAATAAAACAAACACCCATGCATCTATTTCCCAGGTTAAGAAGCAGAAGACTAAGAAGTTTCCTGTATGTCCTACTGATCATAGCTTATTCTTTGCCTCCTCCAACCCTCCCAACTGTCTTGGTTTTTATGTTAACCATTCCCATCTTTTCTTACCATTTTTCTGATTTCTAAGCAACATTTTGGTTAGTTTTGTGGTTTTGAACTATGACTTGCTTCTTTTACCCAAAAGATACTTTGAGATATTTTATTCCTGTGGGTGCACATGACTATATTTCTTTCGTTTATACCACCCCTAAGAGTACTGTAATGTTTAAGACACCACCACTGATTTATTTATCCATTCTGCTGCTACGGGACATTTGGGTTGCTTCCAGTTTCTGCCGTTGTAAGCAATGCTAACGTGAGCATTCTTGCACTTGTCTCCTGGTGTGCCATGAGTGTCTCTAAGGTATACTCTAAAAACATACAGGGCTCTAGGGGATATTAGCTCAGCTCTACTTGATGCTGAATTATTTTCCAAAATGTTTCCAGGGGTTTTTGGAAAGTTCCCATTGTTCCACATTCTCCCAACACTCAATATTATTAGATTTAAAATCTGGCAAGTAATTCTCTATTCCCCTGATTAATGAGATAGAGCAATTTTTCACACTTATTAACCATTTGAGTTTCCTCTTAAAGTGCTTGTTCAAATGTTTCTGCCATTTTTTATATACCAGTTTTTCTTACTGAGTTGGAGGATACACAAACATATAGAATACATATATATTCTAAATATGAATCCTTTATTAGTTATACATGTTACTAAGTTCTTTCCTAGTTTGTGTTTGTTCACTTTCTTTAAGATGTGCTTGATGAAAAGTTCTTAATCTTAATCGGCTGTATTTATCAAATAATTTCCTTCATAACTTTTAAAGAACCCCTTCCCTACACAAGACATTCTCCTATATTTTCTTCTAAAAGCCTGACTTTGCCTTGCACATTCAGGCCTTTAATCAACCTTGAATTGACTTTTGTGTGTGATGTGAGACAGGGTCCCATTTCCAATTCATTTTTCCCCCATGGATACCCAATCGTCCTAGCACATTTCCTAAAACTTTCCCACTGCTCCATAAGACTTCCCCTCTCATTTATCAAGGTTCATGTTAAGCATGGGTCTGTTTCTGTTCTAGTCCTTTGGTCTTGGTATTATCTAGAAGGGGAAGTTATTCCAGAGTATCTTGACTACTCCTGCCATAAAGGGCCTACATAAAATTTAAAATTAACACATCAAGTCTCACAAACAAAACAAAACAATTTATTGGGGTTTTAAATGTATTACGACTCTGTTGACGAACGTGGGAGAACTACCACCTCCAACATATTGAAACTTCCTATCCATGGTGTAGCTCTCCTTTACTTAGACTACCCTTACTGTTATAAGGTTTTCTTGATACCTGTCATAGCCAAAGTTGCAAAATGGTACAACTTGTAAAACCAAAAGAAGGACACAAGGGACTGGTATTCTTTGTCTCCTATTATCTTCTCACTAAAAACCATGAGAAATCTAAGAACTCAGACTCTGAAGCAACTGGTTTGTGGTATTCTTACCCAATTTCAGTCCTATTGTGTGTAAGAAAGTACATAAGAGGTAAGGTATTTAAACTATCCTTATTCTATAGAAAATCAATAATAGAAAACACGGAGACTTCTAATAATAGACAAATGTATTAAACCAGGAAAAATGAAACAGATATGAAGAGGAAAACAGGTAGAAAAACTACCACTTGCAACGAAAGAAAAGTCATTTACAGTAAAAAAAAAAAACACCCACTTTTTTATCTGCAAATTAAAGGGATAAAACTAAAAATACTTGATTGTATAAGGAAATTAACGTGAATGTTCAATCAGTGCTGGAGAAACTAGATTGGTACCAGTTAACAATATCAAGAGCCTTAAAGGGTATTCATAATCTTGGATTTAGTAGGTTCACTTATGGGAATTTTAACTAAGGGGAAAAGAAATCAGTTTGCACAAAAATGCACTTCCATGTTACAATGACAAAATATTAGGGGAAAAATATATCCCAAAGGTTGACCATTAAACCCATACAACAGAATGCTATGCATTTACTTAAGTGATGCTTATAAAATTTATAATGGCATTTGGAAAATGCTCTTACTTTTTCTTAAAGCAAAGTATAAAAATTCTATATAGTATTATATGATCACCTTTTACAAGAAAACAATGCCAGAAAGAGATATGTCCAAATGCTACTACTGATTGATTCTCACCTAAAAGAATTAATTTTGCTTCTTTTCACATTTCTATACTTTCAAAATTCTCTACAATGAGCAACTAATTAAATGGATAATGAAAGAAAAAAACAAAGAGAAGAACAATTCTGATTAAAGACGAAGGACTGAACACATGTATTTAACTTAACTTACTCCTAAAAAAAAACCACAATAAAAAGTTGTTTTTCTTTTAAAATGTACAGATTACTAAGGCCAAAAATAATGGAAGAGATAACTGAAACACAATTTTGGAACTAGAAAGCAGATGACACTAAGGAAAACTAAGCAGTAACCCTTTTTATCCCAAGAGGCTGATGAGTTGGTTGAAACAAGTACCTCTGCAAACCGGGGTGGAGGGAGCCCAAAGCAGGAGCAGTGGTGAAGGGCTATGGAGGCACAACTGCACCTCGGGGCTCCTTCTCCCGCACTCTGCTCAGCCAGGTGACCACCGCCTCACCCCGACAGTAGACTAGAGGTTTGTTTTCTCAAGAGGGTGAAACAGAGGCTCTAGTAAGAGAGGTGGGCATGAAGGAAGACAGAGATACAACAACAAGCACCAAACTGAAAACTAGAGGGGTTAAGTGGAAGCTTACTGAGACTCTAGCCTTTTTCTCCGTCCCAA